TATTTTGCCCAATGCAAAATTTAAAAAATGGCAGATATCAAAATTTCTCCTTGCCTGCGTGCAGACGATAACAAAACTCTGATTAGTACCGTCTGCGAAGCAGCGCAGAGATCCTTGTTCTGCACCCCCAACGGACTCAACGAATTACCGGAAGTGCGTTTCGAATTCCCCTTCAACCTGATTGGCGATGACGACAAACAAAACAAAGGCCTTTTTTAACTGGCCAATCGTGGCGCGTACTCAAATCTGGGTACACAGCTGGATGTCCAGAACAAGGATTTCGGCGCTGTTTCGCAGACGGAGTTAACCAGAGTTTAATTTCGTCTGCGCGCAGGCTACATTTCTCCATTTTGCCCCATGTAAAATACGGAATTGTCTTCATTATGAAGCTCAAAAATCAACACGTCTTTATTTTGCATAATGCCAAATTTGGAAACTTTCAAACATCAAAAGTTTTATATTTTGCACCATGTAAAAAATGGAATTCGTTGCCATTAGTGAACGTCAAATATAAACATTTCCATATTTAAAAGGGTGCAAAATTTAGAAACTGGCAAATATCCAGGTGTCTTCTAAGATATATAATTTATCTTCATTGTGAACGTGAAATATTAACATGTCTTTATTTTGCAACATGTTAATGCTGGAAATTGACAAATAGTAATGCATCTATATTGTGCACCATGTAAAATATGAAACTGTGTTCATTATGAATCTCAGTCTTTTATATTTCTATATTTTGCATTATGTAAAAATGCAGGGGCGGATATAGGGGGAGGGTGCAGGGGGTGCGCATCCCCTCCCCCCCTGAGATGACCTGCGGTTTTCTAATACAACTGGTATTCTGCAAAAAAAAACTATGTGGTTTGTTAGTGTTGAAGTAGAGCAAGAGACGAGTGCACCCCCTCCTAAAAAAATCCTGAATCCGCCCCTGAAATGGTATTTGTCTTCAGTATAACGTCAAATATCAACATTTCCATATTTTACATCATGCAAAATCTAGAAATTGGAAATTTGAAGGACTGTATATTAAGCACCCTGTAATATATAAACTTATTCTTTATTACGAAGGTCAAATATCTCCATATTTTGAATAATGCAAAATATGGAAATTGGCAAACGTTAAGGTTTCTGTACCGTGCAACATGTTAAATATGGAATTGTATGGATTATGAATGTCAAATATCTAATATTTTACACTTTGCATGATGGAAAGTTAGCAAATTGTTAAATGTTAAGGTTTCTATTGTGTATTATGCAAAATATGGTATTTGTTTTCATTGAGAAGGTCAAATATAAAAAAATCCACATTTTGCATCATGTAAATATAGAATTGTCTTCGTTCTGAACGTCAGCTATCAAAACTTTTATATTTTGCCCCATGTGAAATATGGAATTTGTCTTGACAAAAATGAAAATGTCTCCATTTTGCATCATGCAAAACGTTTGGAGATTTTCAATTATCAAGTTTTCTATTCTTTGCATCATCTCAAATCTCGAATTTGTCTTGATTATGAACGTCAAATATTAAAAATTCCATATTCTAAATAATACAAAAATCTTGAAATTTGCAAATATAAAGGTTTTTACATTGTGCACCATGTCAAATGTAAAATTGACCTTCATTATGAACGTGAAATATTACAATTTCTTTATTTTGCATCATGTAAAACCTGGAAATTGGGAAATATCAAGGTTTCTATATTGCGCACTACGTGAAATATGGAATTGTCTCGATAATAAATGCTAAATTTCAAAATTCCTAAAATTTGCAAGATGCAAAATCTGGAAATTGACAAATATTAAGGTTTCTCCGTTATGCACCTTGTAAAAGCTCAGTATGTGATATTCAAAATCAAGAAGTTTTTCATATCCAACATAACTTCATCCCGATTTGACATGATGCACAACAGAAATTTTGATCAATGACAAGCTCTATATTTTATGTGGAAGTTTTGGTATTTAACATTCAAAATTAAGAAGCTTTATGTGTTTGACTTAAGGCACAATAAGGAGAGTTTGATATTTTCGAAAATATGGAGATTTTTTATATTCGACTTTCATAATGAAGACATTTTTATATTTGGCATGATGCACATCTTCAAAAATTTGATATTTGATAATTTCTAAACTTTTCCGCAAGGAAAATGTAGAAATTTGGGTATATGATATGACATTTAAAATTAAGTTTTCTTTATCTGACATGACACATAAGATTTCATACAGATAGTGGAAATTTAAAGACAAAAATGAGAAAATGGCAATGCGCAATTTGAAAATGTTTCAAAGGAATTTGAATATTTGGCCTACCGAATATTGGAAACTCCATGTTTTACATAATAGAGAATATGGAAATTTTAAAATACATTTGACAGAGGGGAGAGTAAAATTTCAATACTTGACATAAATAATATAATTGAAATTTCTATTCTTTACATCATGCAGAATATGGAAATTTCTACATTTAACATAAAGGACAGGAAAGTTTCATAAATTTCAGAATGGGAGATGTATAACTTACAAATGTTCATCTTTTGCAATCCAGAATATGTCATTTTAAAAGGTTCAATATTTGACACGCAGAATATTGAAAAATCAACTATAGCGAATTTTTTGAAACATGGTACCTGTTCAGCAACATGATATTAGAAGGCCCCATCACGCATGGAAATACCTTACATTATGTGGTCATAAATACCAGTGAATACACATTTTAATATTCAGGCTTAAAGAGTATGCTATGAAAAGATAAAAACGAAACCTAAAGAAAGAAGCCAGCTTCTACAAAGCAATACTCGTTTATTGATGTGTAAAAATATCAAAGCGTAAAACCTATTATGAAAAATGCGAAAAAGGAAACACAATTTTACCATAATATGATACAACATTTTCGAAACCTTTCTTACCTCAGGATCTAAGACTGCTGACACAAATATATACCACTACCACTAAAGTTTGGCTGCAGAAAATAACAAAGCAGAATGCCCTTTTTTCTTACACACTTAACGGACAAAAACTAAGAATTATAAACAAAGACATTAACACCGATCTATAGTTGAGTAAATTAGTGTAAAAGTTATCTTACAGAGAACTGTGCATGGTATCATGATTATAATTCCGGGAAAAAGCTCGCTATATAGTAGGTTAAAAAGTTACTGTACATAATAATAGCTATTAAAACATTTCTTTTCTAAGTCAACATTTCTTTAAAGAATTTGTCCATTTATCATTGTCATTAAATAACTTATCACACTTAAATAAATATATCAAAATATCTCCACTGACTCAAAAGTATAAACTACAACTAAAATCAGTCATAAAGAATTTTTGCTCTAGAATACATTATGTACCTTCTTTGTAACTAGTAACCAAAAAAAACTTAATATCTCGAGGAAAAAGCTTTGCCATTGTGTTCCTCTTGAATCTAACCGCCATATCTTGCATAGTAATACACTCTTTTTTTCCACAACGTCTCTTGAAATGTCACTTGGGTTTTAGATTTTTCCCTATAACTGAAGCTTTGCGACGTTCCCCTCACCCTACTTTTCTCAAGTTCCAATGGCCTCACAAGGCAAGTGGAATGGTTGTTTCCTATAAGGATGCCTTGTATATCGCCTGAGAAGGTGTAATAACTATCGTCTCGTTCACAACCATTAGCTAAAGAGCAGGCACTTCACCATCTGTGGAGAGAGAGAGTACAATCAAAATACTATTTAACTTGCAGTGTACTGTACGGTGGTTACTCTAGCAAACCCCCACCCAGGACGGATCCCATGCATACTTCATTTGGTGCCGTTCCAGCACTAGGAATCTGATACCCTCAACAATTACAAAACCATGCTGGGTTGCACTCTACCATCACGTCCTAGCTAGGCGAGACACCATGATTTCTTACCTGTTACAGATGTTGAATTTTGGCCGAATTGTGCAAAGTTGGATAACCCATGGTTAGTGCAATATTTGAACTCAGATAGGAAAGCTTAAAAAGCATTCGATTCTCTAAAAAGAATAGAGGAAATTATCGGAGAAGAAACAAGATCAAAATTTAACCCAAGGTTAGCACTTATCTGCCTTCGAACAACTGGACCCTGTTTTATTACTACTATAATAACCCTTTTTAGGAAGTGACTGTCCCAAACCAATGCTAGATATGCCAGCACTATTTACAAAGTATGCATAAGAACTTCAGCTGAGACAGAGAAGAACCTACAACATGAATTGTTAGGGTGTGCACGGAAAGGACAATTACACAAAATTAAGTTAAATTCTAGTATGACCTCTCTGAACAGCTCTGGAAGGTGCTTTCAGACTACGAAAGTAAACATATCTATAATATTCGGTACTCTCTGAAATCTGATTTCCGAATATACAGCTGGAGTTAAACAAACAGCAATAGGCCACTTGCACTAAGAGGTCACGTGACCAATGCTTCCTTTAAACAATGAGTTGGAATCTTGCTGATGCTAAAAATTGACAGAGCACATAAAAATTAGCTTACACCCGAAATTTGAGAGGAAACGCATTTAAGGGAGATGTTCTATGGCACGTTGATTTTTCAACAAAGCACTATGATTTGTATTGGCCGCCATGTTGGAGGGCATACTCTTGCCCTCCAATATGGCGGCCAAAATTACTTTTGATAGTATCTTATATCTTGTTAAACGTTTGATAGTTACGCTCAGATGTGCTGTAGACGTTACCACATCATTTTTTTCAACATCCTCCTTGAAGTTTAAGAGTAAAGCTCGTGTTCAGAAAGAAGTAATTCATAATTTTAAAAATCACATTTTGGTCACGTGACCAGCGAGGAACTTACTCATTTTAAGAAAATGGTGCAGGTTTGAAAAATGAAATCACTATTATTCTGTTTAAGATATGACCCACTAATCGTTTTTCGAAGGCAAAATCATATAGCTTTCATTTTCATGAAAACTATGTCACAAGACGTCTTAGTGCAAATGGCCTATTAACCTTCCAAATAAATCAAGACAGTTTTGATCAGTACCTGAGTTAACTACTGTTGTATCTGCTCCTTGATCCACGAGGAAGGTTTTCATTCCACCCTTTGGAGACAAAATGAAAAACTATATTAAGAGACCTACGAGAATCCACGTCTAAAACAAAAACACAAACATACAAAACAAAATACAAAACAAAACAACATTATTCATATTTCTCTTATCTTGGTGACATACCATATTTCCTCGAATAATAGGCGGGGGCGTATATTTCTTTTTTTTTTTGCATCAAAAGAGGACGATTATTCGAGGGAGGCCATTATTTCAAATATTGCTCACTGGAAGTCGTGCCCTAAATATCTTGTTTTATTATCCTGTTTAATCAAAAAATTATCACATCAAATAAACTGAACATGGGCTTTTTAAGTGTTCCAAATTTGGTTCCTAGATTAACTTTGAGAGCTTGAACCGTCACTGATCAGTTTTGCTGGATTAGATTCGACATCAACTTGACAGGATAAAAGAAAGAGAAGATGGTGAGAGGGGTGGGGAGGGGGCGATTAATCGAGGGAGGCGATTATTTGAAATATTTCCATCAAAGTGGGGTGGGGACTGATTATTCGAAGGACGGTCACTATTCGAGAAAATACGGTAAATGAGCAAACTTATGACACCCCTCTCAGGTCAACACCTCGCACTGGACTGAAAGGTGTCTGTCTTGGAGAGAGTTGAAAATAACTTTTGCACCTCACCTGTTCATGTTCACAAGCAATATGCAGAGCTGTATTTCCGATAAGGTCTTGTTTATTGATCTACAGAGACATGAAGATTATGAACCCTTTGTACAAATTGCATTAGCCTTCTGTAAACTAAGTGAAAAAATATTCTAAGAGAACGCAGTGGATATCAAATGATGATAACCAACTCGCCCTCTACCAGAGCTGCAAATGTCTTTCTTTCTTGAAAAGACATATGTCTGGCTTAGTCCTCAATTTGGTCAGCCAAAACAAAAATGGGGTTGAACATAATAAACTGATGCATTGCACATATCTGATAAAAACTGTGCATATATGGCAGGATTGGGATTGAGGTACACTGCAGACAGATTACTTCCATAATGCAATTAATTTTGTTGGTACGACAATTTACTACTTTCACATTCCCTATCATACACCTCCTTTACCCACACACCCCAGAAAAAGCAGAACAATTGACCTTATTTACGATACGTGTGTTATGGAGAATGTCAAAGTGGCTAACTTCCTCTGTACATCGTAACCAACCCCAGTAGAAGGGATGAGACAATCACTAGAATTTACAAACAAATGTCAAAAACCAAACAAACCATATAAAAATAACTCCAAATGCACTTTGATCAACCCAGCGGTAATATTACATCTTAAGTGTACACACATTCACCTAAGATGTTGATTTACCTCTGCTCCGTGTTCCAGAAGAATTCTGGCAGCATCAACAGAACCATACTCAGCTGCTCCATGTAAAGGAACACCCTGAAAATAACATTACTATACTTTCTCAGAGAGTGTTTATATTATCTTAAAAGTCGTGAAATGCTAAGCTTTCTTCACCACTGAACTACATTAATCGGGAGCTAACAAAGCTTTTTACCTCACTACTTAACCTCACATTTGCCACCTCCCTCTGCTGCCGAACGCTCTTCTTTAAAAGAGCGTCTAAACCCGAAAGCCTGGTCTCTTTATTACAAGGGTTTAACTTAACAAACAAACCACGTCAATGACAGGGGTGAGGCAAACATCTCCCTTGGACGTAAATCGTCCAAGGTAGGAGGACCCTGGCGTCTGTTTATGTTTGACAAAATCAGGGAGAAACAATGTACTTTGGATTGAAAGATTATTTGATGGCAGATACAGTGGAGTAACAAGGGAAATGAAACTGATTTGCTTTGACAGTATATTTCAGGTATGCTCAAACATAATGGCAGACAGGTAGCTGTGCCCTTGTTAATGCACACCTTCACATCACTCTCAGTAACATTCGGGTAGACCCCCCCTAGCACACACATATTGTTTCACCATGTGCTGCGAAGAATGAGCATTTTGTCATGGATGGCCAGGCACCCGTTCAAGGCAACAAATCACTCTCAAGTAGCCTGTACAGATCACGTCCAACTGACCATATTTTTTATGATAGCAAAATTGAGCTTTATCTCAATAACTTATACTGAAAAATTTAAGTGTCTTTATCATCCCTTCTCTCCAAAGCAGTAACTTGCACGTTCGTAAACAAATATTCAGAATTCTCACTAGCCTTTCAACAAGAAAAGTCCCTTCTTCCACGTTTTTGTTCCTATTTTAAAGAGGTAAAACTACATTTAATAAGTGTTTCCACCTGTAATATCTCATCCGTGATATTTGGATCAAGTTTTCCTTCCGTCAGAAGGTAAGTAACCACCTAGAAGTGAATATTTTCCGGTAAGTTTGGGCTGCAATACATGGAGGAACTGTTGCCTCTTTCAAGCACAGTTTTCTCCTCCCTTCTGACACTCCAATATTCCATTGATTGAAAATAACAGGAAGAAACAGAAGAGTAATAACTAATTATTTTATGATAAAGTTCAGATATAACACGCACTCTGATTGGTTGGAAAAGCGTGCTTTATGAGAGTATAAAACACGGAGCTAAAGGTGTCGATGCAATCTGCCAATAGTTTGTTTTGAAAATAAGAACGTAATGGGTGAGGAATTTAACGGATTCCTTATCATAAAACAGGGTTTTCACTAAGAATTCTATTAACAGGAGAAAGGTGTAACGTTACAGGATAATATTTCGAAAGAGGCTCCACGTCTGAACAAAAACTATTCATAGGCTACCGAACATTTGCCGGAGAATTTTGCGTTGTTAACAGCGAATTCTCCGATCTTCGGTGGCTAATGTACAATAAAGAAACCTTGACGGTGCTCAAGAAGTAGGGAGAAACACTAGACTACGCCCCTTTTTTTTCTCGTGTTTTCATGCTCTGGTAGCTTATTGCGTGCTTTACAACAGAACAGAGCGCAGTCATTGTCAAGGTTCTATATTATAACAGAGTGTTAGCCCCTAGGTAATAGACAAAAGAGAAAGTAAGTACCCTGGCAGCATTTCGTTCTGCTCCAAGATGAAGGATTGTTTTGTTATCCTGAAATCTTGTAAATCTGATATTCTTTTCCTGGCGAAGACTTTTCACCTGAATTACAGAAAAATATTGCAATCTATGTAAATTACCTACTTGAAAATAACTTTTACCTTGGTATGCATCTATGGCAGCTGGTACTTTAAAACGTATACATTACCTACTGTTAGTCCTTTTAGTATTTCACAAAATGAAATTTGTCCTCAATGAATCATTGCATATTTTGATCCTTGGTACGGTTGGAAATTAAAGAGTTACTTACCAGTTCAATGTCATCCACTTTGACTGCCTCCCACAAATCCCAATACTCATCCTCTGTTGCAAGATCGGGTCCCTGAAAACATCAAGGAAAAAGGTCAACCGCCTTTAAATCTTGGTAAGATATCATTGTAGCCTTACTCATCCGTTGATAAGTACCTTATTCTGATGCTAGCCTTGTAATTTTTTTGCAGCACAATCCATGATTTTTTCAGGAATAATGCTACCTCACCATCTTGGATGTTAAAATTATCAGAGAGTTGGGGAGAGTCAAAAACTGATTTCAAGGGAGAGGTTGATGGGAGTCTTTTGTTTTTTGCTTTTCAAGATCACGGCCGCGATAAAAGAACCCTCAGAGTTTCAGTTAAAAAACGGCTGCTCTGCAGGCTAGATAGGACCTGTTAACCCAAAATTTTGGGTCTTAAAATTATCCCTCTGCCAGATGCTCAGCCAGTGGAACAGTATGCCCTATACATTCCATGCAATGGCAAAACGAAACCAGCAACACCAAAAACACTATTTGCTGTCCACTTGCTGGCTTCAAAGAGATATTGAAGGGATATTGCAGCTAAAACTAACAATTCCGGTTGGAGGAGGTTTGCGGCATTCGCCATTGTGTGAGGTGCATAAAGTTTAGAAAAAACAAGGGCTTCTCTAAGTGACGGTGAAAGAAAAACGTTTCGTATTGACATACACCTAAAGGGCATCTATAAATCCTTAATCTCGATAAATGGTAGTTAACAAGTCACAAAATCCTTTGTTTACCACATGTACAAGTACCTTTGATTCATGAAAGAATAAATGCAGTCTTCTATAAAAATACTTCCTGAGGCCAACAGATATTAGGAAATACTGACTCACCAGTTGCAAAGCATTATCCATTTCTTGTTCAGGTGGACTATCAGCACTTTTGTCCTCAACCTTAGAAGGGTGTTCATTACTGTCTACTTTGTTAGGCTCTTGGCTACGCTGATCATCACTACTATTTATCTGATCAGGAGATTTTTCAACTTTTATTTGTTCATCATTATTTTTCACTTCCTGGCCAGACGTTTCTATATTTTGCATGCCACCTTCTTCTTGGTGGATATTATTACCATATTGTTCTTCACCCACTTTATCAGTGTCCTGCTTTATGTCTTGCCCAGCTGTTTGATCAGACAAAGCAAGCATTTCTTTAACATCACCATCCTTATGATATTCTACAGCATTTTCAGTTCCTTCTTGAGGATTTTCTTCCTCACTTTCCCTGACATCTGTTTTGACTGGTAGTGTTTCATTGCCAAGAGATTTTGTTACTTCTGAATTACCATTTTCCATGACAGTTTTACTCTATAATTCACAAAACAAAAGCATTTATCAGCCACTAGTGCTCTGACCCGCTTGTTCAAAAGTTGAATAGCGATGTCCACTGGATAAATCACTATCCAGCAGATATTATAAGTAGTACGAAGACCAATTACTAGTGATTAATCCACTGGACTGGAGCCTGGTCTTAAATAGTGTAACTTACCGGGCTTCAACCAGCTAACAAATATAGTACACACTTTAAAACACAAAAACTCGAAATTTTCTGCTTTCTTTGGAAGTTAATATTTTGCATCTGGATCAAAGGGCACCGAAGTGTATGACCTGTAGAAAGTTTTGTGGTAATTTTTAGCCCATTATAGCCAGACCGTGACCAGAAAACGGCACGACTAGCTTCAAAACGCGTTTTTTGGCGAAATTCCCAGGAGCGAATGGGTTAATAGCTACAGTGTTTCACCCGTTCAAGAGAGGTGAGGTAAAAAAATTGTCTTCCACTTATTACACATACACTCTTACATACTTCTGAGAACAATTTGAGTTTCTTTAAGGTAAATGGCAGTAACATAACTAAAAGTCCAAATTACAAATTCCACAATGGCAACAACAAAAACATTGTTCTGGGTTAGTAAGCATTTTTTTGGCCTTTCTAGATGCTGTTCCACTAGCACAAAGAAAACAATTCATACAGTAAGATAACATTAGAGAAGACTTTTCATTGAGCATTCCAACTATCGGCACTTGAACAATACTACTACATTATGCATTATGTAATTGACTAGTTGCAAAATTCTTAATACCTCAAAGGAAGAAAAAATAATAACAACAAGCCAAAAAAGACAGCTTTTAGATACAAACAAGGCTCGGGGGGGTACTTGGGTTAATGTTTGCTGGGTATGTGCCGCTGGCCTCTCAGAGCCCCTACCCCATTATAGTCTATTTTTTGGGCAATTATAGACCCCATCTTAGTCACTTTTTGGACAATGTAATTTTTGCGATTCCAACTTAGTCACTTCCTATTTATGCATCTACCTTATCAATGTGATTTCAGGCGGCGGAATGTAATGCGGTCAATGCGAGCTTATTGTTAAATTTAATAAACAACAACTTTCTGATTTTTTAACCGACAATCTTCCCATTTTGAATCCCTACTTACCCTCAAAATCCAAAAATTTGCGACCCCATCCTAGTAAATCTGTTGAAAATGCGACCCCATTATAGCCACTCCAGTCGTAAAAATGCGACCCCATCCAGCGGCACATCCCTATTAGCCTCTTGTAAGGGAAACAAGGTCAAATGAGCCATACCACTTTAGAAAAATCTTCAGTCTTTCTCTCTCCCTCTGGTTTCAAAGTAGTAAGATCTGTATAGTCCTCTGCATCACTAATTATGGTAATTCTTCCCTCCACCTGTAATGAAATTGAATTCCTGTTAAATAGATTGTATAGAATCTCTGAGTGTCAACGCCTGTTTTATGAGGGTCCAACAGAAAGGCAAACTATATAGATGAGGAAATTTTCATGAGGTTGGGTCATACTTTGAAGTCAAATTCAGTTTTATAATGCTCAGCATTCTGAGGAAGTACCGTCATTGATTCGTTCGAGTCTGGTTCAATAGATTTACTAAATTCTTGTACCTGAGCTATAGTAGGCATGTGCAAAAAAAATGCACTTTATTTGAGTGTCAATGTATTTAGCACGAAAGAGCTAATTGGGGACACTATATTTTACGTCTCCTAATGGAGACGGGGCCGCCATTTTACGTGGTCATCCGAGCCACGCGAAGGTCCAGCCGCCTGCAGAGCAAAGGAAGTACCTTCATTTCTCAGTTATTTTAAGACCCTGAGTACTGGTCCGGCCCCGGGAATCGAACCCGTGACCTCCCGCTCTGCAGTCAAGCACTCTACTGACTGAGCTAATCCTGCTGCGGTATCATATTAAATCATATTCCAATGATTGCTCTAAGTTTGTTACACAACTACAACTGCCTTTTGTGCAGGAAACAAACTAAACTTTAACGAACAAGTTGCTGGCTTGAGTGAGAAAATCGCCTTCTTAGGTTTTCAGTAACTTAATCCCTGCATGTACAATGTACTAGCATGAATTACTGGGACCAGTGAAAAGCTGACAATGCTCAAAACGTTACCTAAAAAACACAATAAGTTCTCCTTCTCTATAGTAATGCTCCAAAAGCGACATACAAGGTAACACCCTTATTAAGGTAGTTACATTATTTTTCAAGATGCTAGTTTATTCTCAACCGTTTACATGGCATCTGGATACTGGCTAGTTGACTTAGGCCTGGCTTCCAAAACATAGAGCTGCAGTTGTCATTGATAGTGGACTGTTTGAGTGCAACTGCATGCCATTTGGACCTACAAAGTCATCAGGAACATTTTAATGATTGATTGTACCATCTTGGAGGGGGTGCACTTGGATAATCCTCACCAAAGAAGTTTGGCCCAGTCTTTTTCAACTTTGAATCTCGTATGAAACTGGTATGTATAGGATGCGTGTCAGTTTTGCTGCAAAATCTGCTTGATTGATGATCAAAAAGTAGTTCATTAAGAGAGGCATTAGTCTACTTTTGCGACGAACAATCCCAAGACACTACTCCTTTTAAAACACATAGTTGTATGGTGTTTACTTCCAGCAGTCCAAAGAATCAAAGGCTGTACTATTAACATTCAACAATACAAACCTGGGGAGCAATGCAAGTATGCTCTTTCTCCAAGTTAAGAAATAACTCCTGTGATGATCTTTGATCTCCAACATCAACTACATCGGATGGTCTATGCCGCCTGCAATGAAGAGGAAATATCACCTTTGGTAACAAGGGTAGGGATTTTAAGGGGATTGCCATAGAATGGCTTATTTTCCTTTGCGTAATAATAGATCCTCAAGACATACTAAAGAAAAAACTATTAACAGTTCAGTAATCAATGAACTGGTAAAAATTGAGATGAGCTATTTTGCAACAACGTAACAACCTTGTTGTCTTACATTGTCTTTTACTGGGCACCATGAGCAACATTATCAGTGACAAAACATAATTTGTCACCTGATATGGTACCCATATCACAGCTGTTACACATTTCAAGCATCTTACCAACATAACCTTATTGCTCTGTATACTAAAAAATAATCATTCTTTTGGCATACATGTATTCATTTATTGATTGTTATCTGTTTATTCTGTCTCTGCCTGTCTACAGCTGTCATCACACCCAATTTTCTCACCAACTGGCATGTTGACTTGAATCCCAGCCATTTTCCACCACATCATGGTCACTCACGCCTAAGTCTTCTTTATGTCTCCTGTTAGTTACAGGTTTTTTTTCATTTATTTAGTCATGAAATATAGAAATGGAAACAATATTTATGAGTTAAATAATAAAGAAATCAACTGGTCCAGTTTTAATGCCAAACACATTGCAGGGTCTTGCTGTTTAATGATCATATTTAAGTTAAGAGTTAAGTGCAGAAATGAAACAACTTTCAAGGCAACTAAGTGATGAAAAAAGTCAGTTCGGTTAAAATATTGTTAACTTAAGCGTTTTTTAGTGTTTGATTAGAGGGCATGTACAACCTTACGTTGACTGGATGAAGGGTTAACAAAACTCTATTAAATTACTGTCAAAATCGACTAAAGCAAATTACTTTCTATAACGACTTTACTTTGTTTCAAAAAAGGTCATTTAAAGGAGCAGAAACTATAACATGCTTTGATGAGTGTTTGATTCTGTTTAAGGGCTCTCACATTAGCTGACACAGAGGTTTACACTGTAAATTACCACCTTTCACAATTAATAACAGTGATGTGCAAAACAGGCATGAAAGATTTGTTAGCTTCTTAAAAAGAATTTTGAAAGTGATGGATTTCATATCTCTGTTATCAATATTGTATCACTATGATATAGGCATGAGGAGGCAATGCAACAGGTATTAATAGTTTTCACTCCTCTGCTGACACCAGTTCTAAGAATCACTAAATTAAGATTTGGCCTTTGGCAACAGTCTTGCTAGATAAATCTCTACTCGGTGTATAGCATTATACAAGTTTCGAGAAACTGGGGATAGACAAATCACTACCCAGTGGATAAGTATTAGGGAAACCAAATAGTGATTAATACAACTGATAGTATTATCCACCAATTTAGCCATTAGGGCCAGGTGTAAATGTTCTAGGTCATTTTTTTTTCAGGTTCAAAACCTAGTTTAAAAATTATTTTTAAACTAGTTTGATTATTTTATACCAGTTTAATTTTTTCCAATAAGGCACTTTTATTGTTTTACTCAAGTAGAGTATATTATTTTGTACATAAGCATTCAGGAGTGGATTTAGTGATTAAGGTTTAAAGCACTCATTTTACTGATTAGGTTTAATGTTATGATTAGGGTTAGGGATAATACATGTTATTACAGGGTGTGGATGAATAATTTTTGAAAACGGGGGAATATAATCTCTGTTTTCCAAAATAACCGAATACATGTGGACAGGGCCTGTGTTGGTTCACAGTGACTCAAGGAATACACAACTTCAAGAGAAAATTGTCAAACAAAATACCACTTGAAGTGACTTCAGCTATTTCTGACTGCCCTCACGAAGACAGCCAAAACTGTTGACACCTTAATGTACTTTACCATTTGACAATACTTTGCTTCCATTCAAAGTGCAAGAAAGTGCTTCACTTTTGCAGGAATATGCAAAAGGCAAAGACAGACATTGAGCAAGTTTGGTTTTTATTTTCTCCCCCACACCTTTTTCGGCTCCTTTCTTCTAGTAGTTTTTCCTTTTTGTTTTCCGTAAAATTAGAGTTTTTCAATATACACTGGAAGTGCTGGTACAGTATGGAAACAAACTTGCCAAGCATGTCCGTTCAGTACTCTTCTGTTTGTTAAGTCTTGCAGGTGAAAAACTTCACACTTACATGATTAGACTCTGTCGATGCGAAGACTTTGATTTGGTAACACCTCTTACAATGTTGATTGAGCGGAAATGGTTTCTCACAATTGTGCCTAATATTGGGCCATCCTCCTCATCCACCTGAAGAAAATAATCATTTTATCAAGAAAAAGTTACCGGCAGTAAATCTTTGTGAATTTTCCGCAGATGCTTCAACGTCTTTAACTTGAAAAAGTGCTTCCTGATTCACTTCAATGTGATGCCTTTCCTGAAGCCAGGATCGTTTTTGAACACTGAGTTTAGCCCACATGAGCTCACATAAACTTTCCTGACAAGGTTTCCCAAAATGAAGTGATATACAATGTGCATTTTCACCTTATAAACCCATACAGTCAGGTGGAAACAGTTTTATGTTCAAGGTGTATAAGAGCCACTATTCGGTTGACCTATTTTGGTTAACCGAACTTTTCATGAGCCGAATCTAATTAGGATTAAGACCAACTCCAATTATTTAGACCAGCTGAATTGTTCAGATGCTGATCTTAATTCCAGCCAAACTAAATTCAAAAGGAGAAAGATGCTCATTTCGGTCAAACTGCTTACAGAATACATCATAATAATTTATGCATTAGGTTACGTACATAAAAAAGTTCAGTGTCTGAATCAAAGCCGTCCCAAGGTGCTCCCGGTTCAGCTAGGCATGAAGAATGGGACTGAGCTATTCCAAATCCAAACAGGTGTTCCTAATTGATTCAGATGCCAAACTTTTCCAGTACTTAATTCAATGTATTAGGTTCAGAGTCTGAACTCGGCCTTAGTTCACAATACATACAGCCCTGTATGAGAATGCCATTTGAAACAGATATAAATAGTGGGGATGTGTACTCAAGCAAGTATGGAATCATCTCAAAATTAAAAGGGAACCTTCACGACAACTTCAAAATAAGTTTCAACTGAAGATTTCCTTTCACATTGAGTTCAACACAAATCATTCTGACCACCCAGATAGCACACCTCAGATAGCATTCTTTTGCACACTTCGTTGGTTTTCTGTCTCCCCTTAGCATATTTGAAAATCACTCGCACTTTGTGAAAGAATTTGGCCTCTAAACAACACTGTAAAGGGAGGGAATGGAAACCGTTCACGCTGAGAAAATAAAAAAGTTCTGTCCCAAAGATTCTTCTGTGAGGGGGGGCAGGCCATTTTTAGAAAGCTTAGAAGATTTTCAAACTGAGCCCCCAATTCATCTGAGCTTTTTAGAAATGACCACCCATCAATTTTACATTTTGTTAAAGTGACCCCCACCTGATTCAGATTGCTGTGGAAACTAAGAATACTCCCGCTAAAAATCGTTCCAAAGTTCACCACATACTTTATCTTCATGTCATGTTTATGACATAAACGTTCACAATTTATGGCTAAGACATTCAATTTCAATTCACACTTATTACTGCTTCGTACTACTTTCATGAAATTTATTAATAAAAATGATCCCCATTTAACACTCCCTTATCTGAAAATGACCCCCCAGCAAAATGGCCGGGCCCCCCTTACAGGTTATAAACAAACCCAGCCCCCTTGTGAGAAAATAAATCTTTTTCTCTCAATACTTAATTTCTGATTGATCCATTAACTCACCAGAACTTTAGCCTTGGCAAAAACCCGATAACCATCCTTACCCCTGGCAAGGTAGGACTTTGTACAAACTTTGTATGTCTGGGGAAAATAAATTAAGAAAATTTACATCACATTGATTCAATAGAGAGTGAAAATGTCCGATAGTAGGGCATTGTTCTAGACCAGGTTTTTGCCCAGTACTGTCATTTCCCTAAACAAGAACTGCTGCTCCATGCTGGGCCTGCAGGAACTTAACAGTTTGCATGCCTTGGCAGTAACTTAATAGAATAAGGTATTGACAACAGAACTAGAACCTATAGGCAGTCAAAATGGAAAACTGTAGATACTTTTTGTTAGAGAGTGTGACAAATACTGGTGTTTAAAAACATCAACAGATACATGTATGAATCTGTTGCAACTTTAATTTTCAGGAATCAAAAAGTCGCCTATGATGGCATTATCAATGATACTTTTTTTCCAGAGACAGGGTCATTCTGTCAGGTAACTGCTCTAACTGTTATGAGAAAATACAATTAACAAAGCAGAGCTAAAAATTATACAAACCTTGTTTCTATCTAGTGGTTTGCTATCAATGCTAACAGAGGGTTTCAGTATTCTACACCCAGGATCTCGCTTTGGGTTGAAAGAAAATCTCATTCCAGCAACCTTGATTGAAGAAAGAAAGGTGATTACGCTGCCATTAAAAGCATCAGTAACATAAAAAAGCAAACTAGTGGCTTACTCTTATGTCACAACACAACTTGAACCCATGTTTAAGAAAAAGAACGCAATCAACGTGGCTGTGTTTTGAAAACAACTTAGAGTGAGTGCTCTATATGGTTTGTTTTCAAGCAAAAACAAGATGAGTTACTAAATACGTGCCCACCTGGGGAAATCTTCCTTCAAGCTTAGGCCACTGACTGACTCCATTTTCTAGGGCCTCTAAAATCTGGTCACCTGCAACAAAGGACAATTTTAAAGCTTATTTAATACAGTTGACAAGTAAAAGAAAGCATATTGGGCAAGGCATAAATCATTCATCAACCCCAAAAGCAGACCAACATTAATTTCTCTCAACATCATTACATTTTCAAGAGAAAGAGTTAAGAGAATCAGAAAAATAATCACTAAAGGGAAAATGCGTTGATCTTTGAAAAAATTCCCTCCACCAACTGCTTCAGGAAATATATAGAGATCAGTTGGTAGAATTTGGATGGTATTGGAGCTTTTAAAGAGGGTTAAGTGCCTTCACAGAAAAGCTACGTCATGCAGGCATAACCTTGGGGGGGGAGGGGAGGCACTTCCTTATAAGAGGCTTAAAGGGATGTACTGCTGGATAGGGTCGCATTTTCACAACTGGATTGACTATAATGGGGTCGCATTTTCAATAGAGTTACTAGAATGAGGTCGCACATTTTAAGATTTTTGGGTTCTTCATATTTTCCGTTAGCAAACGTACCAGAATATTTGTACTGTAGGTGAAAAGTAAAGTGTTCTTCATTCAATTTATTAAAAAATGGGTCAATTCATCTTAGGATGACCTATTTAAAGGATTGATAAGGTAGATACATAAATAAAAAGTGACTACGTCAGGATTGCAAAAATTACATTTTTGCCCAAAAGTTACTGAGATGGGGTCTACAACTGGCCACAAAATAGACTATAATGGGGTAGGGGTTGTGAGAGGCCAGTGGCACATACCCAGCAAAAATTAACCAAGTAGCCCACCCCCCACACTGGGAGGTGTAACCAGTATTTTAGAAATTTATGTGAATCAGGGATCAGCTTGGAATACTGATAGTGAGATTCAGAATTTCTGCCAGAATTTTCTTATTTGATTGGAAATATATAACAGTGATACATTAATTTATATAAAAAATTCAAGCAGTTCTGTATCTAGTGAAGTCAATGGTAGTGTCTACAAGATGTGAATAAAATAACCCTTTTAAGCCCTAAGAGTAATCAGCATGCATATTTCCCCGTGTTAGCAATACTTTTTATCACACCCATTACAAGAATTGAGGACATGGTCACACAAGATTAATTAAACTGATACATCAACAACTCTAAAATACCTGTAAGTTCTAATACCACTAACACATCTGGCATAGGAAGAATGGCTGCAAGGTCCTAAAGCAGTATAGAAATGTAGTGATAATTAAAATCACGATTTCTTTGTATCTGTACTTTTCATTATACTTTTAGTTTTATTTTCTTCCATACCGATTAGATATAAAAGTTAGAACAGGGGAAGAAAATAGTCCAGAAGCCCTCCATGATGACAATGTCATGAGTGAATGAGAAGATCCAAGAACAAAGATGGCAAAGGAAAAGCAAAGAAACACTGTAATGAGCAAAATGTCCATCCAATAGCTGACCTGAGTCAACAAAGTACAAAAAGTGAACTGATCTCACCCAGCTATGCAAGGCAAAAGCAACTAGGCCAACTGCTGTATCTATAACAGAAGAGGCAGCAAGCCAACAGGCCAAAGATAAATAAATATTTTAAGAAATATGCTGACCCCAGAAGCTAGGGCAAATAACGGTGTTTCTTATGGTTGTTGACTTGGTTAGGCGGGAATGTCATTAGGGGCCAGGGGCTGGGGATTTCCCCCTGCTATTATGAACATGACCCCCCCCCCCCTCTACTTTTGTAGGAAAATAGAAGAAAAATAGAACCAAACAAAATCACTAGTTGTTGGATTCCCTGTCTACTTCCATAATTAGCCCGGCAGCTTGAAATTTTAACGATAGCCCTGGTTAGGCAAATTCAATCTTATCTTTTGTACCTGATCATGTACTGTATCTCGGCTTGCTCTTACTAACAGAATAAACAAACAACTTATCTGATTGAAAAGTAAAAACAAGTTACCTTCATTTTAAATTTTCCAGGAGGATGTAATGTATCTGAGCGTAGAGTTCCAGAATTTAAGATCACACAATCAACTTCTGTGACATTATGTATGATATCTGTTATAAAGTTTCCTGTAAAGGAAAACTCAGTTTTAAATGTAAAACTAAAAAAGGGAATAGAAATAATGTTAAAAAGAAGCAACGTTTTAAAACATTTAGCCATAAAGAAAAAATTTTCTTAAAAAAACATTTTATTTGATAATAACGTCCAAGAATGTTGAAACATCGTATATTTTTTTACTTTTATACAATTCTTTAAATGTTTTCAAGAAAAGATCCTTTAAGGAACTAAGTAAACAGATACATTACCGTAATAAGAAATAAAAATGTATGTTTACCTAGATTTGTTTCGTTATTTCTTATACTGGAAAATCTGCCATCTAGTTCAACCTCTAGTTCACCAATAACTTCTTCCATCATCTCATTCATTACACCTAATTGAATCAAAGAATAATGAAGCCTGAGTAAAATTTATCATGCATAGTCTCTTTGCAGCAAAGAATGATCACCCAAATTTGGGACGCACTGTAAAATTAATGTTAGGTTTCCTGTGCACTAGGCCCAGTCTGCGCTGAGGTTTTGTCATTTGACACTAGGTCAAACCTCAGGATACATGTGCTTTTATCCCCTTGTTATTTTTGCCCTTATTTTTCGGATAAGGATCATTTAACTAGACTCACATCAAAGGAATAGAATATTACGGAATCATTACAGATCTTGCAGCAATTTTCAAGGTTACGGACACGGACACTTCCTCGTTTGTAAGGATTTCTTGTACGGTATTGTATTTGAACAGTGTGCTGAGCATAGTTGATCGTCTTGAAAAAAACGTGGAATTGACACTGAATTGATGGCTGTTACACGCACACTTTAGTCTAGAGCGAAAAAACAAAAACTCAGCATACAGCAATGTAATCATCAAAATATCATTTCCAACTCACCAACAAACTTGTCAACAGTCAGTTTAACTTCTGGGTCTTCTTGTATATCACTAGTTATTTCAATTCGCTGTACATCTAAACCAAAAGTGTTGTCATCATTAAAGGAGACGGTAATGCAGCTTAGTTCTCTGAAGTCTGTACCACTCTTTATGACCTGAACACCATTGATCTTTGATTAAAAATAAGAAACAGGAACAATTAACAAAACTAGGAGAAACCTCTTAAAGTGCAGTTTTTCCCTGTTAGTAAAAAATCAGCTGCAACTGACAGTGCATGAAAAAGGGCATTTCCCGCATTTGAGTGGATATGAATTAACCAGAAATAAAATATTTCTCTGGCACAGGAGCAGTGGGGACTGCGGCAGTTTCAGGTCAAGTGCAGCATGGGTGGAATGGAGTGCTGTAAAAGGGATACTTATCACATGGGAAAGCATTCTACGCCAACACCTCATTTTACCCCTCACTATTCTTCATTTATTTACTTTTTATGTATTTAATTTATTAAGTTTCAGATCAAGTTCCGCGAGGGTTTTAGTTTGTTTTCGTTTCTTTTCAAATAATCATTTTGAATTTATCGTGCTTTGTTGGTACACATGCTTAGTAAATGGGGGCAGAGACTTAAGAGCTGTGCTGCCTTCATAGGATAGGCTATTCAGAGCAAGAGTCATGGATCCTACCCAGATTTCCTGCCATGTTTTTTCCCCACTGAGTTTTTTTTCTGGCAGGTATTTTCTGGCCTCTGTTCTGACACTATTTTTTGTAAACTGTCGCTCAGCTCTGTTCTTTTTTATCTACCACGTGTTTCAATGCAATCTAGAATTTGTCGTTCAACGTAATATTGTTTAATGTTATATCTCTTGATGCTCAGCCGAAACAGCAACAATAAAATTAACCTAATGGCTTTCCATTCATCCTGTACTGTGTAGTGGAGCCAATCTGTTAATATTACACGTGTACCCATCATTATTTATTCAAAATATTTTGCTGTTTCTGATTGGCTCCAATCCCACGGGTAATTCTTTATGACCAAATGGTGCTTACCACACTTGGAAGACTCATGTGAGCAATATACTATCTTGAAGGATGTTGAAGGCCATGGCCGAAAACATCCTCCTCGATCTGCATAATTCTTCGAATCCAACTCAGCCTCATTCAATATTTGCTAAATATAAAGCCAAATCTAACAATACTTGGCATGGCCAATGATACATGTAATAATACCACATTTGTCACTTGTACACCAGCGTCAGACACAACACCTACAGGACCTATAGCTGCAACAGCTAAAAAATTTCTACACTCTGAATCAAGAAGTCCTCTCATGGCCACCTTCACTGGTGCAATTTGCATACAGGGGATGCAAGCGTTTGCAGAGGGAAACAAAGTTTTCTAAGTCAATACCTTCTGTGAAAAGTAGTCATGATCATGTCCACCAAGTATAAGATCAATTCCAGTAGCTTGCTCTGCTAAACGACGATCATTTGGTCCTCTCATATGTGTTAGGGCCACTACAAACTCAGCACCCTAAAAGACAAAAAAAATGTTAGCAGTTGCCCATCATTACTGTCCAAATCAACTATATATGCTAGTTCCAAGTTCGTTGCTTTGCTGGCTTTTAGCCAGACATTGAAAACTAGCCATCCAGAAGGCAATATTTCCCATTAAATTATAAGAGATTAAGTGAATTTTCCTTGTATTTCTTCCAAGAATGGGCGTCCATACCATGGCTGGACACCCTTTGGCTAAAATCTTGTGTATTTGGGGACAAATTACATGAACAGGACAAAGAGTTGATCCAAAAATGAAGACAAAAGTCAATGCAGTTGTTATTTCATCCTTTTAATTATCATTAAGGTAGCAAGTACTACACTCAAAAAACATGATTATTACAAAATAGACACCATTATCTGGCTGTGGTGCATTTTGGGTCCCAAAAGTAGTTTTTAATAAGCCATATGCGCCATATGTGCATCACATAGCCTTCCCACCCTCTGTACTCAGCACCAAGAAAAACAACTGACATTAAAAATTGTAACTTCCAAAGAACTTAAAAAAAATTAAAGCCTTTTTCTTACCTCTTCTCTTAACTCCTTTGCCAGTTTTGTCCCCTCTGTTACAAAATCCATGTAAGTAACTTCTTCTCTATCAACTGTTGCTAAGGTAACAAGCCATTCCTCTTCAACCAAACCAATAAAACCAATCTGAACAAAAAGTAGTAAATGTTTTGTAAATGGGAGTGATGTTACAAAACCAAATCCACCATATAGCAAGGGCAAATCTGATTGTGAATAATCATACTATATTAATCATAACTATGAAAACTGTGGATGAAACAAGGTATAAAGTAAGCTAATCAAACCATCTTGAGTATGTAAACATTAAACTTGCTTGGTTCAATCCGTACTGTTTGAACCAAGAAGTGTGTGGATCAAATGCTAACTTCACACAACACATCCTTGACATTTACTAGAAACATCACAAAGTTAAAAGCAAAGCCTCGTTTGTGGGGTCATTCATGTACATAGCTAAACCAGTAAGGGAACAATAAGAGGGAGGGGTGACATACAATAATTTAGTTAATTTGTTTTTTGCGAACAATATGTTACTATACTATGCTATAATACATTTGTCTCTTAGCAAGTATTAACAGTGAACTTATGCAACAGGATGGCAGAAAAGAGAGGATAGCAAAATGTCTACGTGCGACAACATGATATGATTTTCTCAATCTTCAATTACAACCTTGTTGTTTAAAGCACAAAACAAAACTATTGTCACACTTGTCACACAAGGTTTGCTATCTTCTTTCCTTCGCTGTCCTATTGCATGACTTCACTAGTAACAATAATGCTGAACCCACCTTTCTCCCACCCCACTCAATAATCCGTTTGACCTCACCATTGGCCAACTGCCTTCCGGTCATATTGTCAATTACATTACTTAATAGCCATGGACATTTGGTAGCATTACGAAACTCCACAAGCTCATCAACACCAAAATCTGTCAAAAAAGTAACACCAATAAGAAAATAGAAGGATGAAGACTGCAAAACAGTCCGTACTTTTACATATTCAAGTAGGTGTGAACGGTAAAACAAAAGGTCCGGAGCAGGCTTAAAGTAGAGAGTGAGACTGGGGTTCTCTTGCCTCAAATATACCCTGAGTGAGACTGGGGTTCATGGGGGTGCGAGAGGCTCCCACACTTAGTGTGTAGGAGACTCTGATGCTACCCTAAAACGATTTCAAGAAAAAACCCCAACTGTTTTGCAGACTATGAATGATGTGGCTTTAAGCAGCAGCACATCAGAGAGTCTCAATTAAAGGCAAGCTAAACAGGTATGACTTGTGACCATAGTTGAATGGGACTTGGCTGTACATGTACACTGGTAATAGAGCAACCACGGCCCAGCTGTTTGATGGCCGAATAGCACTAACCCATGGTTAACCCCGTAGACACAAGAATTAAACTGAATTTGCTTTTTAAGCTTTCATATCTAATTTCAAATTTCGAACTAACCCTGGGTTATCTTAACCCAGCTTTGTTAACCCAGGCCAGGTTCTTTCCTTTTGCTTGCAGGGTACCATACATTTGAACACTGTCTTCTCGACTACAAATCTTCGGTCTAAAGACATTGTTAGACAAGCAATGTTCTGTGCAGCTAGCAGGGGTGGATCCAGGATTTTTTGTAGGAGGGGGTGCACTCGTCTCTTGCTCTACTTCAACACCCATAAACCATATAGTTTTGGTTTTTTTTTTACAGAATACCAGTTGTATTAGAAAACTGCAGGTAATCTCAGGGGAGGATGCACACCCCCTGCACCCTCCCCCTAGATCCGCCCCTGAGCTAGTCTCACAATTTTGTTGTACAATTGCAAGACCAGTGATGCAAGAAGTTGTAAGTAAAGCACCCTCTAAAATGAACATGTTTCAGAACAATTTTATAGCAGTGCACAGCGCAAACAGTATTCTATTCTGTGCAACAGCTGCTGTATAAAAAATACTGCAAGACAGGTTCATTTCAAGGAGTGTTTCACCAACCACTATATTTTGCAACTTTTATGAAAACAAAAATGGTGAGACAAGCTCAGGAAATTGCCAAGGATTAAAGGCATTAACTCTCAAGACTTATAGAACTTGACTCCCTTTGACTTACCAAAATCATGATTACCAAACACAGCAATATTCACATCTAGAGCATTTAAGATTGGAATCATCTGCTTGCCACTAGTCACACTGCTCACTGATGAAAAAACAGATGAAGAGAGACACGGTGTTCAGGGAACAACATGACAGAAAGGCTTAAACCTGGACCAACAGACCCAAAGTTTGAGTTCCTCATGGTTCCGCCACCAGACGCCACCCCTCCAGATGGGAAGAAAGTCTAAGCAGGGTCAGAATTGGGTGAGTAATCAAGTTTTCATTGAGGAAGTCGTGGTAAGAGATAAGATAAGTCTGGCACCTGAACCGCACCTAAGATGTTATACCCTGTTCTACGAAACTGTGGAAAATGGATGGCCTGTTCCAAACAGGGAGTCCTGGAATCACTTCCTCTTTTATGGCCGGCACACATATCCGCGGGGAGAAATGACCGCCATTTGTGAGTTGAGAAAGTAAAAGAAGGCATTATTTCATTTTCACGAGCAGTAAAAGCAAAGGTTAAGCTTTACAATGTTGCAAAGCTTATGTGCATTTGCTCATCCACTTCGAAATTTATTTCTCATGTAATGTATTATGTAAGACTTTATTGACTTATAATTTATCTGGCAACGCATGGAAATTTCTCAACAAACTATACTCACTTGTTGACGGGTTCAAACAGTCCCCGCTGAATACAATCAAGGGATTGAGATATCTCAGACTCGCCACCTTAGTGGCAAATCTAGCCGCTCCTCCAACCGGCTCTTTATCCCGGGGCTCAATATTATAAACATCATTGAAATGCAAGATGGTCAGCTGTCGCCATTTCGACTCTGTAGTCCTTTTCGTCCCATTAACGCAGCTGTTCTTCTGCACGCTAGCTGTTCTTTTATCGACAACGGCTTCTTCAGATTCTTGAGAGGTACCATGTGGCTGTTCCTCTGATATTTTCTTGCTTGGGACCTTCGACATGTTGTTGTTGTCAACAGGTAAAGGATCTACATGTGCATGGCGATTCTGTTCGGTCGCTGACGCCGTGTTACTTGAGCCGCAACCCATTTCTTTTGCATTAGATGAAATCGTGGAACAGCAGATGAATCATTGTGTGTCAAAAAACACATTTAACTTGCCAAAGCTCCATGGTAAAGTTTCCTCTTCCTGTCAGCCAGGTTTTCAAGCCTCTCCCGGTAAAACCTGTCGCGTCTTTCCCTTTTTGACGGAGGTTAAAGAGCGCGCGTAGTTCAAATATGCCAGTCATTACTGTGTCTCCATAGCAACCAGTTGGGAAGAGGTCAAACATCTACCTCATTTTTTTGTCGTAAAACAAACTTTTTCGTCCTTAAAAATACTGGACCCTTTCAATGAGGTAATAAGACTTTTACAGCAACTATGATAAAATATGTGGGTTCCTGGTATCTCCACCTAAGCACAGCCCAATGACCAATTTGAAGAAATAATACACTGGACTACCAAAATCGAATACACCACACGGAATAAATACACCGACTCTTGGAGCGTCTTGTTTTGTAAAGACCCCTTTTTATCAGCACTTTGGGGCTCCACATTTAAAGAACATACTAAGAACACGTGAGAGTCACCAGAGAAAGTATATATTTTGACAACATTCTTTAAAAACAGAACGAACTCTGGTAAGATTTTAAAATTGAGTCTGGGAAGACTACCCGCAGTCGTTAAGGGTTCCTTCGTCACGCATTCATTTCTAACGAACCCCTAAGGACGTCAGGAAGGCTAGAGTCTGGGCAGATCCAAAAAAATTTAGACGGGCCTCAACAGGTCCCCTGTTGTTCGTACACTTACCCAGCTAGCAGAGGTTTCCTTTCGTCATGGTTTTTAGCCTTTACGGAAAAGAAGTTGGCGTCCCTGACATTCCCGTGATTGACCAGCTACGCGTGCGACGTCGCGAACTTCGTAACTAGGCCTTTCCAGATTCTGCTCGGCAACTTTTTGGCAACTTTTAGGATTTTGAGCAACTTTTTTGTCAAAGAGCATCTTTTAGCAACTTCTTTTCGGAAAACTAGCACTTTTTTTGATAACTTTTGGGCTATTTTGAACCAAAATGCTGAATAACCCCTTTTTTTAAATCAACAAGTTAAAATTCTCTTGGTTAAAATTCTAAACATCTTTCTAGTAAAACTCATATTTTTACCCTTTGAATGGGTATCATGTGGACGTGGTAATTAATTACAAGAATTGGGTTTGGGACGGGTTTGGGTAGCCTCAACCTCGTTCCCAGGGCTTCCCTTCTCGTGGGGGGCGCCCCCCACGAGAGGGGAAAAGCCCCGGGAACGAGGTAGGGGTTAGCCTGTGGACTGTGTGTAAACAAAATGGCGGACGACACGTTGTCTTCCGAAGACGAATCAGCTTTTCGCTTCTGGTAGATCCAGACTGTGAATCTGTGATTACATTGTTAATTGTTATCGCACGAAAACAACAGTTAGCTAGATTTGTAAACCAGATTGTTAAACTTACTGTCTAACTTTCCGTAACTAGCCACTTAGATTTAACTAAAGATTGCCTAATTTGTTGTAACTAGTTACTTAGTTGTACCTTAATGTTGATTACAAAGCAATTGTTATTAAAATTAGACATGCTGTCTTACAAGTACTCGAGCAACTTTAAAAAATTTTTGAGCAACTTTTGAGCAACTTTTTGGTATATTTCTTAGCAACTTTTTAGCTTTTTCGGAGCAGAATCTGGAGAGGCCTATTCGTAACGACTGAACTAACAGGGTAATATTCCCTGTACGTCAGAAAGCTGACTTTCCAACATATTCTTCGGGGGGCGTTCATAAAGACACCCTTACCGCTTATAGGAAAGAACACAATACCACCACAGTGCTATTGGCCATGAGCAAGATACTATAAAAGCTGAGAAAGGTCTAAAAACAACGTCTTAAATAAACTCTGAAAATTCCACCTCTCACTAGCAGAACACTTTTAACACTTTAACTTCCACCTAACAAAGCAAAAATGTTTAGGGCCATGTTTATCATCCATCATTGTTGCAACTATATTAAGAAATACTTTTATTTCCTTTCTCTTGCAACACGATATCTTTATATCCGTGTTATAATATTTTGCAGTCTTTTTTTTTTGTAAGTTCATATTGCTCATGTTTTTCGCGCTGTTAAGTTATTTATAACTATCCATCTATCTCGTAATGAGGTTATCAAAAAAAACAACCGTGAGCCGTGAGGCTTGAGATCTGTAAAGGCCGGGGTAGCCGGGACACACTAGCCGATAAGTCGCTGCGACGCTGCGACACGTCGCGGGGACAAGTCGCCGCAACAATTCCGTCGCCTTGTGTGACACGGTTAATTTTATGAAAATCATTGTCGCTGCGGCAAAATTTTGTCGCCGCGATCAGTCGCACTAATCGCGGCGACAAAATTAGCGAAAGCAGCGTTGTCGCAACGTGTGTACACTTCCGGCAACAAGTCGCTGCGACAAAATATAAATGAAACAATGAGAGAACGTCATATGGTCAGCCATGTTGAATTAGAAAGCTAGTTCACATTCCTCTTAACACGAGATTATAGCCTGCGTAGCAAGCGTTTCTGTGCGGTTTAGCAGAAAAGAACGAGAGTCAAAGACCGCGTAGCCTGCGTGGCGGGAGCAAAGAGGGGAGGGGAGAGGGAGAAAAGCACCTACCCCTTTCGACGCCTGCTACGCAGGCTAAAGACCGCGAGAAAAGTGGCGCAAGTAAAAAAGCGGCTCTCGTTTCTTTTCTCGCGCGGTCAAAACCGAAAGTCCCCTTCCTAGGTTTTTCTTTGCTCCGAAACCAAACGGAAACACTTGCTACCCAGGCTAACGAGATTACTGCGTGTGCACCGAACCGACGTCGTGTCGCAGCGACTTGTTTTGCAAGTATTACACACGGAGCAACTTGTCGCTGAGGGACCGGTCATAAAGTACAGGTGGGGGTGGGCTATGAAAAATTGGGGGTGGGTCACTATTTTTTGACACGTTAAAAAGGGTGGGTCAGGAAAAATAATGCACTGCATCAGGGGTGGGTCATGTTAAATTATTCACATATCACTACAAATGTTAGTTAAATCTTTTTTAACAATGAATCTAATTTTCCACATTAATCCAACTTTATATGACAACAGGAATTCACATATTAAATATTTTGTTTCTATTTATGTACACTCTTTAAATCTGAAGAGTAGTCACGCGGGAAACTTTTTATAGTATAAAATCTAGAACAAAGCTTTACTGTGTGTTCATAAACCTAACTTATGTTAACATCTTTTTTAATATCTTCTTCTAATCATCTTTAGTCATCTTCACCATTACCATCACCCTCAGAAGCATTACCATCCTCCACCTCCTCCTCATTGATCATCATCATCATCATCACTATCATCTATAGCACTCAATACAACTGGTGACACGTTTGCTCTGATTGTTTCAATAGCATCCACTGTAAATTTACCTTTACTTATTAATAGTTTTAACCACCTACCATCTCTCTTTGTTAAGTTGTTAAGGCCTATCACACTACAATGATCGGAGGTTATAACTTCACCATAAGATGATGAGTGACTGATTGCGGAGAACACTCTCTTACATTTTTCACTGCTCTTTCACGGCGTCGCTTCCTAGCTTTTGCTTTATTTTCTTTCACTCTTCTCTTTTTCGAGACGAATGTTTCTTTTGCAAAAAGATACATTCTCTTGTGTTTTTCTTTTTGGGCCACTGCCCTCATCAAAGTCTGGTCAATGTTTTGCAATTCTGCAATCATTCCCAAGCATTTTTCATTGAAGCGTTGCCCACACTCTTGCCCACTGATGATTTTCCCAGACTTTTTAATGAACCACCGGGCATTCTCTTTCTGGATACTACTTTTCAGCTTCTCAGATTTCTCTTTCAAATCCTGAAGTTTTTTAATCTTGTGATTAATTGCTTGGCGTTCAGTAGGCTTTAAGGGTTCCTCTTCTGAATCGCCTTCTGGGATTGCTGCTTGCAATGACATAGCTGACAGCTGGCAGTGAAGGTCATACTAATGTACCTATCCACATCAGCGTTACTGGTTTTGGCTGGGGGATGGGCCGCCCCAGTTTAGTCAAATAACTCGGGGGTGGGCCACTGAAAACCAGTACTTAAAAAAAATATTTCATACCCCACCCCCCTGTACTTTATGACCGGTCCCTGAGACCTGTCGCTGCGACTTGTCGCCTAATGTGTCCCGGCCTTGAAAGACATTTCATAAACAAAGGACTTCTGAACATTTAGGCGAGATCCCTCAACGGGTTGTGATTTCGGGCTAAAACCGGAAGACGTCTGTTTTATGTCCTTTCTAGAAAAGGAAATCAGTCAGAAGAGAGGCGATAGAAAGCGGAAAGGTAGGGTTTTTAAATCAGAATATTCTCGAAATCAATTTACACTACGGTTCTCGGAAACATCGAATTTTTGGGTGAAAATATCAATTGCGGGGTCATCAGCTATGTCCTGTTTATTTTAGTCTTGTGACTAACTCTTAAAATACTGGTTATTTATTGTAATTGTGTTCAAAGCTATACATGCAAACGAAGCTGAACCCAGATGGCAAAGAGAATACAACGCTATTGCAAGCTGGTCGTGTTTTGGTTCTGCATTGCTGGAGGTATGTAATAAGTAAGCTAAACTTGCTTTATTAAATATGTGAATTTAAGTCTTCAAAACGAATAGGATTGCTAACTGGTAGGTGAACAACTGTCTTCACTCGAAATTATTAAGAACGGCTGCCGGTCTTTCACGGAAATATTAAGTCATGTATCCAACCTGACTTAGTGTGTACCAAGCTTTGTCGAAAATTGGTACAGTCTGCATACAGAAATACGCTGTTTAAAGTTAAACGTCATGCCGTGCTATTGAATGGCCGACCACGAGGAAACTTGAAAATTGTCACCATTTTCAAGCTGATTCCAACCACGGAGAGTGAATTGTTTCGATGAAATTGCCCGTAATGCAACTTATGAATTTTCAAATGTTGGTATAGATATTCCAGTTCGTGGATTGATTTACAATGAAGTTCAAAACAAAACTTTTCCCGGAAAATTAAGATGACTAGGTTAGCCTTTGATTGCTAGACATGTCTGAGCAATTTTCATTTTAAACCAGCGTTCCATTCAAAATTGATCAATTACCAAACTAAAATCGTGCAGTGGAATTTTGCGAATTTTCTGAAAGCAGCCTACAATGTCGAAACCCTACTCAAAACAAAGTTTTCAGTAAATTAAGAAGACAGATTTCCTGGAAAGAAACAGAGGCCGAATGCAATATTGGACTACAGAAACTTCTGGCGCTTGGATGACTTATTCAGCCTTTCATTGCCAAAGAAAAAGAATTAGTATATAATTTGCGTAAGAGAAGGTTTCACCTTCCTCAGATAAAAACGGAGAGATACAAGAAAACTTTTGTAAATAGACTTATTTTTAAATATAATTTAGCATAGTATTATTCTATCTTATATTACTATTGTATTTTATCGTGTATCTTTTAACACATTTTCACTTTAACTTAGGATATGTATTTTTATCCTTTGATTGAACAAAGACTATTGTTATTAAACGGATTGCCGCTAGAGTCTAAAAATTTGCTTTTAATGAACAAACTAGCAGAAATCGTAGATTATAGTACGTCGCCTCCGGGCCTCCCATACATTACCTATACGGGTATGTGCCGCCAAACGGGGTCGTGATTTTGGTATCCATTTCAGAGGCCTTTTCTAGAACGGGGTATTAAAATTGTGGATCACGGCTTTATCTTCTGCTTAAAATTGTTGCTGATTATGAAGAAGCATTTACTTGATGTATAAGTCGAACAAATAAAGAAATATCTTTTTAAAAAAACAGGGCTATTTCAATTTACAAACTTTCTAGAACGGAGTATAAAAAATTGGCCCCTTTCTAGAACGGGGTATCAGTTTTAGGGCGAATTCTAGAACGGGGTATAAAAAATTGGCCATTTCTAGAACAGGGTATCCCGGGCGGCACATACCCACCCAAAAAATACCCAAGTGCCCCCCCCTCCCCCCGGGGCCTTAGGCAACTGTAGAGAGACTTGAGAGACTTTATTTTATGAGGGTAACACGTGACAGTAACTAACATTACTGATGAACTTGTGGCTCACTGTATAGGGTCCGAGTTATGGGGAGTTGATTTCTCACTCTAATTACTTGTGGACGAAATAATGTGGTGTTCTCATTGAAATGAAACTTCTGATTCTTTCTCCATTCGTTAGCAATTATCCTTTCAAATTTTAGAAAAAGCGACCGATCCGCGAATATTTTAAGGTTTTGTTTTAGCAACGTGACGAAAGCTAAACAGATTGCGGGCAAGTTTGGGCATTGAGTTACGCAATGACAGATGTGAAACAGATTCTTTTCACAAAATTCCTTTCTTTCTGCCTAATTTGAGTGAAATACTTGGAAATTAAGGGAGGGCAGAAGACATCATTTCGTTGTATCCCACAAGACACCCACCCTGCCAGCAGGGCCTCCCTAAAATTCGCCAAAGAGCGAACAAGAAGAGGCTCGGCAGAAATAGTGTCAAGTCTTTTACAGTGCAACGCGCCATACCGTGGCCACCCAACAAACTTTCACATTTGACAACCTACGTGTAAATACAAGGAAGGGTTACGTTTTTACAAGCGTTGGCCGTATAGCAATTATATTTCAACAGACTTAACTGATTAGAGTGTAATGTGAAGTGTAACCCTTCCTTGGACTTGTGCATGTTCAATGCCGTGACTTTAACATCTTCAGTTCCTACGGCCGGCTCCCGTCTGACCTTGTAGCTCAGTCGGGAGCAGCGGTGATCTAACCCGAAGGTCGTGGGTTCATCAAGGCGACCGTTGCTTCGTGGCGTGCCTCAGGGGTCTGTACTGGGCCCACTGCTGTATCTTGTCTACTAGACACGCTTGTGTTAGCATAGCTATTAGCATATACTTTGCATATCTGCCCATGCGCAGTTTTGTTTACATTCTCGTCTACCTCGTGGTTTTAGGTTGTCAGCTCGTGTTAGTTTTGATCTCGATTTACGTACAACTTTTGTGCAAACTGTAAGACTCTTTACTTATTGAGAATACAAAGAAAACATGGACTTAAAGCAGAACCTGCTCGTTCCTTATTGAACGAGCCTATCCATCTACACTGCGCCGATTGCTGATATCATCAAAAAGCATGACGTATTTTACCATCTGTACGCCGATGACACGCAACTATATATTTCCTTCAATACCAATTGTTGTGCTGATCTTGATGAGGCAAAGTTGCGTATTGAGCGCTGTGTTGAAGAAATCGACCTCTGGATGTGCAAAAACCTTTTGAAACTTAACCACGATAAAACTGAACTTGTTGTTATTAGCTCCAAATTTCAAAATAGACCAATTCTTGAATATGTTCGGGTCGGTGATGAGTTCATTGCTCCTAATTTGTATGTACGTAACTTAGGAGTCATTATGGACAATTGCTTTTGCATGGAACAACATGTAAAAAAGATATGTAGTGAGGCAAATTATCATCTCAGGAATATATCAAAGATTTGCAAATATCTCACCCAGGACTCTGCTCAAATGCTCATCCATGCTTTTATTAGCTCTAAGCTTGACTATTGTTACTCACTTTTATATGGTATTCCAAAATACTTAGTTTGTAGATTACAGCGTGTTCAGAATAATGTTCAAGCTAAACTGGCTCCCCGTTCATTCTCGTATTATTTTTAAGCTCCTGTTATTAGTCTATAAAGCACTCAATGGCAAAGCACCCTCTTACATTTCTAGTCTCCTGAGCCATCGTAAGTGCTCTCGGTCTTCACGCTCTAGTGGGCAAGAATTGCTCACTGTGCCAATGGGTAAACTAAAGACGTATGGAGATCGGGCGTTCAGCATTGCTGCGCCAGGTCAATGGAATAATTTGCCTCTTACCATCCGTAAATCTCCATCAATCGCTATCTTTAAAAGACGTTTGAAGACTTATCTTTTCAAAGAAGCCTATGGTTTGTAATTCTTTTCTTTTTTTAACTTTTATTTTTTGTATAATGTATATATAAGCTCTGTAACTATTTATCTCGGTATTTTATCATTATTTTTTAGTTTTTAAGTTCTATGTTAATCTGATCATTGTAAAGCGCTATGAAAGAGTAGCTGAATAGCGCTATATAAATTATTGTTATTATTATTATTATTCATTTCCCACCCTGGTCAGAGTTTTTCTCTGTCCTGGTGTGGGCCCATTTCCATTAGTAAGGCTAACGCTCACATGGTTCATATGGGGTACAAAACTAGCACTTCACATTACACTCTAATCAGTTAAGTCTACGGGTAATAACGTCAACTCAACAACCTATGCAACGGTGATCAACTTACAACCGCACGAACTTTGCAAGGAGGCGTGACTGACAATGAAATTCGCACACCCTCACTAGCGGATAATTTGTAAAGAACTTTGTTTGGTGGCCACGGTAAGGCGCGTCGCACTGTAAGTCGCCGTAGCCCAAGTTTCTGGGCTAGTCACTCCGGTCAAACCGGTTAAGGCAGCGCGCGGATCATATTTTTGACAAGGCGAAGGTCAAAATCGAGCCTTCAGTACGAAAATCAATATGGCGTCTAGGAGTGCGAGCGAGAGTTGGCCTGGCTTTGAAACGTCTCCAAGCAACGGCTTGCGCATACTCAATAAAGCCTTTACACGATTTCTGTAGAGTCCTTTCTTCCTCGTCGAGTTAAGAAAGGATCTGCTGGCAGGGTGCAAGACACCCAACCGACATCTGTTTCGACTTTCGAATTCCCTATAACTCGTATGGGTGTTGATGTCACTCTTCGAAACTCGATCCTTGCATCTGTAAGGTCGAGACCTCCTCGAAAGAGCTTGGTCGCGGGCTAGCATTGGACCCAGCTTTTTCAGGCATCTTTCGCAACTGTACCACTTACTCATTTCACTGCGTTGATATTTGTGACCTCCTCAGTTAAAATGTGTGATATTTCACATCAAGAGAATAGGGGAAAATCCCCCAACTTTGGCCCTGCCCCAATGAGAATTACTTAAATTCAATTTTTTGTTAGCATACTTCGAAGTTATTTCAAGGACGACACCTCACAGGTCGCTTGGTGTAAGAGTTGACCACGTGGCCATAGAACAAAATGACCTTCGCAGCATGGGCGCAATCTAAAAAGAAATCTCAATTAATTGTCAAGGGGAGAAGGGAATCGCTCCCTTACCTCATATTCTTAACCTCGTTCCCAGGGCTTTTCTCTGCCGAGAGTAGGGCGGGCTGGAAAAGACCCTGGCATCGGCTGACAGCTGGTTACGTGTTATCAATGAATATTTCGAAGGGTACTAATTTATCTGATCTGATCCGCTTGATCCTTGTTGGCTGTTTGAATTCAGGGCAACATACATTATCATGACCATTTGGATGTTGTACGGATAATTCAATTTTTCTGTTATTCGAAAGGGCCTGCTAATATTGTCGATGGCGCAGTCTACTCCAAAAAAACATATATATAAGAAATTCCGTGTGCAGTCTTTGTAGTGGTGCGTACAAAAGTACCCATATGCTTCGTATTCTGGGCAAAACTGGCATCAACATCGGTGACAACATCAATACCTTAAAGCATATATTCGAAGCACTTAAACTGAAGAGGCTTCAAACAAAACGGAGGAAATTTACCTAGGTTAAGAGCCCATCCAAGCCGACAATTATTCGAATCTCGAATTTCATATAAAACTTATGACACCCAAGATCAGCGTTATTTGTAGGCAGTCTGCAAATGTCGAACACCGGTCTTTTGGCAAGTCTTTGCAATGTTTTGCTTGTATTCGGAAAAGCTACTCTTAGGTCTAATTAGGCCTAAAACGTTATTTAATCTCAAGGCCCAACCTTTGTCGGTTAGTATTCAATGTATGATGGACTACTAACCCCGAAAATCTTCTGTTACGAGTTAAAAATCGACTTCAGTCTCTCTCGAACAAGATGGTCCCGGTGGGTGGAATGTAATGTCGACCCAAGATTTTCGGGTGTCGAAGGAACACGTGACCAGCCGATGCCAGGGTCTTTTCCCGCGTGCCCTACTCTCGGCAGAGAAAAGCCTTGGGAAATAGGTTTCTCATGTTCTCTCGTTCATATGTATTCTCTGCTTTTGCAGGATATGTCACCGAGGGAAGGAACTTGTACCTTTCTCGAACGGGCGAGGACAACGGGTCATGTGATCAGAAGGATCCCTGTAACACTATTAGATGGGCTGTTACTTTGGCAACACATGATGATCTAATTTATTTAGACGGCACAAACACCAGTAAAAATCCATACACGTGTGATTCAGGAACGTCGCATCCGGGTATTTACATAAATAAGAGTCTGTCTCTGATTGGATTTGGCAATCCATTGCCTCGGATACGATGTTCTGGTGGATCATTTTTGGCATTCAATGGCTCTGCTGATGCCCTACACGAGATCAGAGCAAACATATCAGGTATTTTCTTCAGCGGAAGTTCTTTGACTTTCCTGGAGTCTTCCGCTTACATCCAAAATTGTAAATTTAATGACAGACAAGAAGGTGTGAAGTTTACAATACATAAAATGATAGATTCGAGGCTTCATATCAAAGATACGATCTTCTCTGAAAACATGGCCGGCATCTCTGTTGACTTGGCTCACACCAATCAGGATATAAGCTTTGATTTAACTTTGGAAAATGTTACCCTTATTCATAACCAGTTCAGTCCCAAAGGTCTTATATCCCTGAACATGAAAAATGGCAACCACATCATCCACTTTAAGGATGTGACATTTATTGACAACTGTGCATCGGGATACCAATATGAACCTACTGAATGCATTGTTCAAAGCACACGGGCTGCGGTGACAATTTTCATCGATTCGAGCCATTTTCAAGGTCAACAAACAAGGTTATTCGCTATCAGTGGATCGAACATTTCACTGTTCATCCATAACTCCAGTTTTGTTGGATACAAAGTTGGGCCAGCATATGGAAATGGCGGAGTCGTATATCTAAGCGGAGACGACCATCCTGAACAAAGGGCCATGTTCCATGTAGGCGTATCCAATTCAACCTTCGTTAACGCGAGCGCGACTCAGGGTGGTGCTATCGCTGTTGACTCCATCAACGCTTGCAATATCAGCTTTCGAGATAGCATTTTCACCGGAAACACAGCTAAGACAGGAGAAGGCGGAGCCGTGTTTATTGGCTCCTCAGGGTCGGTCTTTCATGATGATAAAAATCCAACCAACCGCACATTTCGCGAAGCTCTGAGTGTGACAGAACCAGATGGCTGCTATATCACAATAGAACGCTCTACGTTTTCAAATAACAGCGCATACTACAATGGCGGTGCAGTCTCCGTTTCTGCAAACAGCCCAGCAACTATCATCCTTCAAAACGTGACAATGGAATCAAACAAGGCAGAGAATTTCGGAGGAGCTATATACGTCAGTGGTGCTGGAGATGGTGAAGGCGAAACATTTGGCAGCAAGGAATTATCAAATCTCTGCAACACTATGTGTACCATTCTCTCGCTGAAGGTTTACAAGTCTTTCTTCTATAATAATACCGCACTTGGTTCTGAAGGCACAGTTGGAGGAGCAATAAGCATAAAAAACGAGAAACCTTGCAATGGAACGTCCAACCTTACCATAGAACACACAACGTTTTCAAATAACAAAGCATATAGCGGTGGTGCTGTTTACGTTCAAGCTAACGCGCAAAGTGTTTTAACACTTTCAAACTTAACCATGGAATCTAATACAGTGCACTTCAATGGAGGAGCCGTCGGCGTCAACGTAATTAACGCTATTATTGTACACAATTCTCAGTTCCTCGATAACACAGCTCTCACTCGTTTGGGTGGTGCGCTCTCTGTAAACGACGTAGAAAGACTTCTGGTGCAACAATGTCATTTCAGTGGCAATTATGCAGGAGGAACTGGTTATGGAGGGGCATTATCTGTGAAATCAAAAAGCAACTTTGTTCCAGCCATTGTCATAAATAACTCAACGTTTTTCAATTGTTCTGCTAAACAAGTCGGAGGTGCGTTTTATATGTGGGCTGATGGCATTGCAACAGTGGAAGTTAAGAGAGCTCGGTTTGTGGGAAACCACGCGTCCAAATACTACGGAGGAGCCGCAGCTATTTTCGTGAATCAAGAAAACAGTGGAGGGGCAAGTCCCTTGTTGTTTGAAGATACGACATTTGAAAAAAACGCTGCAGTTTTTGGTGGCGCCGTGCATTTGAGCAACGGAGATGCAACATTCCAGAATTGCACTTTTCTCAACAATTTAGTGGAGGTTTTAGGCGGGCATATACACACGGACGTCCAATCAACAAACCTATTCATTTGGGATTGTGTTTTCAACCAAACTTTATTTCAAGTAGGAAATGAAAATTACTCTGCAGGGGCTTTTTTCATTGACACACAGAGCAAAGGATCGCTGAGTATATATAATACCTCCTTGACCGCCAACTATCCGGCAAATCACGATGTTCTGATAAGAAAAACAAATGGCAGAGAAGTCAGTCTCGACAATCTGACGACGTTGACTTGTCCTGTAGGAAGCCAAATAAATGTACTTTATTTTCAAATTAAACTCGAAGGTCAAAGTTCTGTCACCATACTTGAGGTTCGATGTTTAGCATGCGAAGGGAGTACCTATAGTCTGAATCGCGGCCGCGCCTTTGGCCTTCACGAAGGACCAGAATTTCCCTGTCTTTCTTGCCCATATGGAGCAAATTGCACCCAAAATATAGTTGCTGAACCTAACTTTTGGGGTTTTAGAGAAAAATACAATCGATCGACGCTGAATTTCATCACATGCCCCCTTGGTTATTGCAGCTCTCCCCAAAAAGCAGACTTTCCCGAATACGACAGTTGCCAGGGTAACCGCTCTGGTACCCTGTGCGGACACTGTAAAGAGCGTCACACGGAGACACTTTACTCCACAAGCTGCGCACCATCAAACGAGTGTAAGGATCACTGGATTTGGCTCGTGGGTTTGGTTTATGTATCAATTATGGCATTGCTCTTTACATTTAAGCCTCCTATAGTGTCCTGGATCAAGCGCCAGATCCTGTGGTTTAAAAAATATGAACCAGCCAACCAGGATGAAGATTTTGACCGCGGTTATTTAAAGATCGCTTTCTACTTTTATCAGGCAGCAAACCTTTTACTCGTCTCCGATACAACCCGGCACATTCTTAAAACTGAAGTTTGGGAGCCTATCATCGGATTGTTTAACTTTCAGCACAATGTCTCACCAGTGTCAACTACAGGAGTGATCTGTCCCTTTCCTGGACTCAATGCGGTAACTAAACGGTTACTTTTGGCTTCTCCTGTCTTTGGGACGATGCTTATGATAGGTGTCTTCTACATGTTGCATTGGGGAAGTAAAAAGATTCAAGGCCGAGAAGCACCGCCTGTTGGTCCCTATATCGGCGGTATTTTACAAACCATACTGCTGGGTTACGCAACTTTGGCGTCCATGAGCTTTGACCTGCTAACCTGTGTTCCCATTGGCTCAAAGAAACGATTGTTTTACGACGGAAACATTGCTTGTTTTCAGCCTTGGCAATTCCTTTTTGTGGCATTTGACTGTGTGTTTTTTGTGCCATTTTTGTTTGTCTTGATGTGGGGCTCTTTCAAACTGTACAGAGGAACCGTTTCGGTGGCAAATTTCCTCCTTGCTTGTTGTTTGCCTCTACCGATTTTGCTCTACTGGGCATACATCGCCCTTATTTATAGAGCGCGACCATTAGTCAGGGTCGGAGGAGAGCCAGCAGGCCAGGCGTCAACCGAGATTTCCGTGGAAAGGGTTCTTTACGACCCTTTCAAGAGGCCAGAAGAGGGAAGCAAGCTTTCCTTGAGCTGGGAAGGGGTTATGATCGGCTGGCGGCTGATTCTTATTGTGTTAAATGCTTTTATCAATGATCCTCTGTCCCGGCTTCTCGTCATGACTTCGTTTTGTGTACTGTTTCTTCTGCACCATTGCATCGCTCAGCCGTTTCGTGATGATATTGCCAACACAGTGGAAACCATTTCTTTGCTGTGTGTTGTGCAGTTGGGTATAATTAACACGTTTTTCGCATCTTTCCACTCGCTTGGTGTCCCTCTGCAGGGCTCGAATCCCTTGATCTCTTGGGCGAGAGCCTTTCAAGTAGTAGAAATCATAATTCTCGGTTTTGTACCAGCGGTTGCCTGCCTTTTTGTAGTTGCTGCTGTTTTGTCGCAGGGTGGTCGCCTTCTTGTTGTGCTTTATCAAACAATTCGTCACTTGGCGAAACTTTGCTACAGCAGGCCTTTTAGGAAACAGGAAAACGAAGAGACCCCTCTCTTGCTCTAGCAAGCAACGATTGCAAGCAACAGTATAGAGCCTACCATAACGAGAGTGCTGTCTATGTCCTCTTAAAGTCAAAATGCATATTCTCTCAGCCGTCTTTCTATGTATTAATTTTGTTTCGGTACCAATGAGGAGAATCTGTTCCCAAATAAAAAAAATTCATTTCACTTGACCGTTTATAATTTTCCTGAAGGGTATGTTTGATTAAACGGTGATGTTGTGAAAAGAAATTAGAAACCGGACACTCTAATTATAAGTTGTTAAGTGAACAACGATTAGCTTTAAAGCCTTTATTTTCAAAAAGGCGTTTTTTTGTGATGGAAAGGTGATTACACTCGACTATTCGACAAATACATAATTTTTTTTTTCGGTGTCATCGTTAATTCTTACCGTTCAAGGAATTCTCAGTGGAAACAAAGTAGCTATTCCTATATCCTATTGTGAGAGTTTCAGAATGCCCATGGACACACAAAAAGTAAGTAGTGTATTGATTTATTCCCCAAAACAAGCTGACGTCCGAAATCATCTTAGAGAAAGAACTGTTAGCCGCCATGAGACTTTGTGATATTTGCGGGCTGGTGTATAAATCCTAAACCATAAACCATAAACCATAACGCAAGACCCTAGGATTCATTTACAAGAAACGTTTTGAGAGTGATTTTAGAACAAATTTGGGTCTTACAGCTTTATATTATGAAATTTTAGTCAGCAGCCTTTTATTGCTTTAAACTCGAGTCCTTTGAAATTATACTGGTTTAGGTAGATTTGTAGTTTTCAAGTAATAAGCCGATGGACAGACAGACAGTGCCAAAATAGTTACCTATCAATGAATTGTATTTTCCACGTAAATGTTTAATGAAGGGTAGTGTTTGTTTAAATGTCTGATCCAACTGGTTAAGTTTAAATCAATTTGAAATCTTTAAATCTACACGTTTTTTTTTTCAACTCACGAGATCATGCAGTCAAACTTCAATATGATTGGTTAATTTCGCTACACCTGTACCAATTGGTTGGAATTTAGCAGCAATAATGTACAGTATTGTTCACACAAGGAATAAAGATTGGATTTTCCTCGGCACAGATGCACAGTGGTTTGTGTAAGTGGTTTTTTATTTTAAATGGGGGGACGGTTTTTTCCTTTCGGAGTTGCCGTCAATGTTCGATAAATCGCCTTAACATAAGTTTCAGTGAAGCCTCAAAAGCCATTTTGGCAATTGGCCACTCCAGAAAACACCATAACATACCATAATGTTCTTTGTTTGTCAGCCCAAAATATGGCATAAGCATTGTTTTCAGTTTCTCTTGGGGCCATTTTAACTCCTACGAGAAACTGAAGACAAAGCTTATGCAAAATTATGGGGTGACAAACAAAAAGTATTATGGTATGTTATGGTATTTTCTGGAGTGGTCAATTACTGGGACTAGTCATTTACATACTTCTTGGCAACTGTGGTAGATCGCCCAAGAAAATGACGGTGGCAGCGTACAAACAGGAAAAACCCAGTCAACCAACTCTCACAGCAAAACATAACTACGTACATTTTTTATACAAGAAACTTTTCATTTAGCAACTTAGAAAGAAAACTTCAGTTCATTTGAAATGTCTCACATTTTTTGTCATACTCGTACATTTCCATCAATGTTGCGGTAAACAATCCTACAGGCTGAACAATTGCAACAACAAATGGTGAAATCACTGTTGCACTATAAACGCAGGAGGCCCGAACTTATTCTAAGAGTCACCAAGATGAAACAGGGTGTTGTATTGATTTATCCCCCAAAATAAGATTTGTAAGTCTTGCTGCAGCAACATTAGTGTTAACACTTCTGTGAGGAACACAACTGACCCTTGAAATGCATGTTTAGCCCGCCTGTGCATTCCTCAAAGATTGATGGCAAGATTGCAATAAGTCTCACATCATAGCTTCACAGAAGGGTTTAGTGCAATCCCACTGGCAGCATCAGCATTGATGTTCCCCTCTTTCTTCCCATGCAGGTTCTCATTTACTTCTCGTTAGTCTTCTTTCTGCAAGATAAAAGAAATTCTTATGGTGCTTGTATTCCAAAACTTAGTCCATCGTTTTCCTAGGGTGGCAAGCATCTGCATCTTACAACATTTGACATTAATAATATTGTGTGGGAAAAAGAATGTACACTTTATGGCCGCAATAGACAACTTTCGATATATTAAAATTCAGCTTGATAGTGAGGCTTAGAGGACACAAACAAGACAAATGAATAATCATGTTCATTCAGTTTCCTTTGTTTGTGTCCTCTAGGCCTCGCTGCCAAGCTGAATTTTAATATATCGAAAGTGGTCTATTGCTCAAAGGGTGAGCAAGACTATCCAGTAGTCAAGTGAAGCTATGATCTTCACAGTTATGAATGCAATTTTTAGTAATTGCATAGAGAAGCCTGAAAAATTCAGGACTTCAACGGGGTTTGAACCCATGCCCTCACGATGCCGGTGCGGCGCTGTAACCCACTGACCTATGAAGCCACTGATTTTGGGAGTGGGTCAATTGTCGATGAGTCACAATCAGTGGATAGCATTGAAGGCACACTCTGATTGACTACTCAAACTCCGAATATCCTTTGCTATTCACCTGCGAGCAACTTGCACAGGATTTGTGCCTAAAACTGTTGTAATTGTTGAGAACGACGCGTCTGTACACAGGCTTAATTTGATAATAAGCGAGCCGAGATTCGCTCTGACTGTGTTGGTAAGTTCCTGGTCATCTCTACTCTTTATAATATTTCATGCTCAAATTGAGAATAGTAAACAAACTTGAAAATTTCAGTCCCAATACAAAAATCAGTCTTTATAAATACAAAAAAGAGTGTAGCCGTTTTGTTCAATTTTGGCAGTCTAGTCCGGGTTGGGGTTATACTTTTTGTTACAATACTTAAAGAAATTTTCCTGCTTTTTGATCGCGAACTACTTCCTTGAAAGTATAGGACAATAAAAATACCGTTCGTAAGGATGAAGCAAATTTTTTCTCAATGAATCAAGCACAATTTTTCAGGTGCTTACACCTGGACACCAAGTGACGGATACTATAAAAGCTGAGAAAGGTCTAGAAACAACGTCTTAAATAAACTCTAAAAATTCCATCATAAATCTGAGAGGTCAGAATATTTTAAGGTAGCTGTGACTCCAAAATATATTGGTACACCTGTGTCAAAAAGCCAGAAGACTCTGGGTACGAGGCAAAGCATGTTTGACAAACTGCCGTACACAAAACCTGCTGTCACGTGTCACTTGTAAGTGCTTTCCAATCAGTCAATGAAAACGCATCACGATTATCCGTCATTCAATGACGTGAGAAGCAGCAACCAGAGACTGTCAAACTACAGCCACAACAAAAGTTTAATACTTCAACGGACTACTTGGCCATTTTTAGGAAAATCACCATGCCCTTCTCACAAGAGGACTTGGTGAGTCTTCTGGCCATAATAACAAGCGAACATAAGTATAAAGTAACAAACAGCAGTAGTCGAGTCAAAGGAGGGCTGATGACGGGGATAGGGGCCACAGTTGGTGGAGTATGCGGAGGGCCTGTTGGTCTTGTCGTCGGAGGTCTTGTTGGGGGATCTCTAGCCGCGTGGAGGGGAAAATCTACCCCGATACCACTGGATCAATATTTGATGGATATTAACAAACAGGGGCACCTAACGAGAATATAGTTCAAAACCGCTTAAACATATCGCATAGCATTGTTAAATGTATTTAGTATTTGAACGGTAGATATAGGCATACTTTTATCCCCTAAAAATTTTTCATCTGTTCGGATTTCCTAGCCGAAAGTCTAGTGATTATAGGGATCAAAACTTACCTTTTCGAAAATTTCAGCCAGGAAAAGGCTCCCGAAAATTCTAGGTGGCCTTTTTTAGGGTAAATATCCGTTTAAAATGGGTAATTACACCATATTGTAGATGTTCGAAAATCCTAGGAGAGGCAGGCAAGCAAGAAATTTTACAACAAATGTTCCGAAAATTCTAGTTCTCAAATCGTCTTCCGAACAGATATTTTCCCCAAAGTTGCCGTTGGGTGCCTCTGTTATCTTTTCGAAAATTTCAGCCAGAAAAAAGGCTCCCGAAAATTCTAGGTGACCTTTTTAGGGGAAAAATCCGTCAGAAATGGGCAATTATACCATTTTTTTAGATGTTCGAAAATCCTAGGAGGGCAGGCAAGCAAAAAAGTTTACAACAAATGTTCCGAAAATTCTAGATCTTAAATCATCTTCTGAACAGATATTTTCCGAAAATTGACGTTGGGTGCCCCTGAACAAAGGAGCAAAGGCAGGAGATGTTCAGCTACATGAAATATCTGATCGAGGAGTGTAAGGTACAGAATTTTGTTGCTTTAAACGCCAAAGTTGCGACGGATCCCGAGCTGAAGAGAGGTTTTTTGGATGTGCTTTTGTGTTACTTGAAGGTGGAACTAAAATTGAATGTCACGAGTGGACCCCGGGTGGTTGAGCGGAAGTCCTGAATAAAGATGCAAAAGCCTTTATTAAAAGCCTTTACTAAAAACGAGCGACAACTGGCTGAATCTTGAAGGAAAAGCGACAAATGTGAAACTACTGAAGTTTTAGGAAGTAGCTATATGTGTGCGTACGAGAATTTATATAGCAAAGAAAGCTGAGTGGCATTTTCCCGAAAAAAATCATGGTTCCTCAGTTATTTTGTTGTTGTTTACAAAAGCTAAAATAAAACACTGGCGTACTTCTCTTGGTGGTCTTAGGAGAAAACAGGAACATGTGGCAGATATTGAATACGCAATCTAAAGTTAGTATTAACTTTCTGTCGAAGATAAAATATTAAATTATCTTCATTTAAAGGTAATATCTTTCCAGATAAATTTAGAGCCATTCGATTATGACGAATCTTTTGTCTCCCTAAATTTTGATTACGTCAAGTTTTTTCCTTTATTTCAATTTAAAATCTTATTTTCAAACGCAGCAATATTAATTTACATGTGGTTCTGTTAGAGAACATGTCACAAAGGGATGCATTTTTGCCGGTAACTTTCCATTTCCATGACATCTCAGGGCATCAGTACCTGGCCGTTTCCTTTGAAGCGTATGCAGTGACAGTCATTTTCACATTGAAATTTATTCATAGGTAAAAGAAGCATAAAGCGAACAAAATATGGATAAGGAATTGATTCCCGCCGGCATGCTGCACGGAAGGGGACGATAAAACGTAGTAATGTTGAGAAGGGCTTTTACGAGGGGTGATATGATCCAGACAGTATTTCTGCTGACATTTACGATGATTGGTCGTTTTAATTATATATCTTCTTAGGTAAAATAACAAGTTTGTCGCTTTATGAGCAAAGAAAATTACAAATATTATAACACATATCAGGAAAGAGCTGGTGAAAATGATCCGAGAGTATCGTTGCAATACCTTAGAAAATAAATTCACACGGAAATAACTGATTAAGGAAAAAAACTGCCTCCTTCATATCATGTTATGAAGAATAAGTCTATTTTCAACAAACCGCGGAGTTATGTATAGAACTAGTTATGATTAGAACTGGGTCAAAACGTAATGCTTAAGTTTCGTTTACAAATACAACAGCTCAGTCAACGTAACTAGCTAAGCTAAATATCAGCTGAAATATTAAGCCAAATAAAAAAGCGTTTCCACTGTTTTTAAAAAAGGACAATCATTTAGAATCATTAGAATGTCTCTAGATTGACAAAGAAATCAGGAAGTGGGGATTTTTATAGAGAAAGAAGTGCTACTGCAGACGGGAAGATACCATTTCCAAATTCTCTCGACCCTCACCTTTCAGTTTTTAAAAGACATTTTTGACAAAACAACAAAAAGCCCAGTCAAAACTCTGAGGGGTACTTAAGTTGAATTAAAAATTGATTCCAACATTCATTCATTTTGATGTACTGTTAAAGAAAAGTATGAAAAAATCTTGAACAAATACATTGACCTTATGGCAACCTTTCCCAAAAAATAACTTGTAGATATCATATATATGAAGACTGCATAGTATCAATGGCTTCCAACCAAAGTGCATTTTCACTTGCAACCTTAATCAAATTATATTACAAAGTATAAAATAAATAAGTCTTAATAAATAAATGAAAAATTAAATATTATTTTAATGGACAGACAGCATGTCACCTTGTTTGATAAGCTTGTTTGTTCTGTTGGATTTGAGCGCGGCTTTTGATACCATTGATCACGGTATCTTACTTGAGAGGCTTAGGTCTGCAATTGGAGTTCGGGATATGGCACTGTCCTGGTTTGCATCATATTTAAGTGGCAGAACTCAGCAAGTTTCAATCGACAGCACACTCTCAAGGAAGTTTGTTTGGAATGTGGCGTACCTCAACGTTCGTGTCTCGGGCCTTTGTTGTTTGTTGTCTATGCTAGCAAGATATTTGAAATTGTTGGCAAACATAATGTAGAGATCCACTGCTATGCGGACGATAAGCAGCTCTATTTATCCTTCTGTCCTAATAATATTGCTAATCAAGAGGCCGCCTTGGCTAGGGTCGAATGGTGTATTGAAGACATTCGTAACTGGATGCTGAACGACAAATTGAAACTGAACGATGATAAAACTGAATTCATGATCATTGGCACATCGCAGCAACTAGCTAAAGTATCTATTAACAGCCTTCGTGTTGGGACTGCAACTATCACTCCTGCGTCGTCTGCAAGGAACTTGGGCTCATGGTTTGATTCCCAGCTGACGATGGCAGCCCATATATCAAAATCATGTAACTCTGCCTTCTATTATTTGTATAATCTGAGACGCCTAAGAAAATATCTATCTAAAGACAACACCAAGACTCTGATTCATGCCTTTATTTCAAGCAGAGTCGATTACTGTAACAGTCTTTTGTATGGCCTGCCGGAGTATCAACTCAATAAGCTACAGCGTGTGCAGAACATGTGTGCTAGATTAATATGCAATGAAAGTAAATATTGTCACATTACTCCTTTATTAGTAGGTTTACACTGGCTGCCTGTAAAGTTCAGAATTGAATTTTAAATCCTGTTGATTGTTTTTAAGACTTTTAAGGGCTTAGCACCCTCGTACTTAAGTTTTTTAATTACTCCTAAGCCTGTATGTAAATATAATTTAAGAAGTTCTAGCGACAGTACCCTACTTAGTTATCCGAATGTTAAGCCCAAGGCAACTTTCGGTGAACGGGCCTTTCTGCTTGCTGCACCTAAGTTTTGGAATGCTGTGCCAAGATTTATTAGGGAATCCATTTCAGTTGACACTTTTAAGAGAAAGTTGAAGAGTCACCTTTTCAAAAAAGCATTTTGTACCACTTAGATTATAAGATTGTATTTTTAGCTTACTAGGTTATAAATAATTTTCAGCTTATAATTTTTAAGATTTTGCTAACAGATTTTATCTTTTTAACCTTTAGCTATTAGTTTTTCTATTCTATATCTATATTATCATCTTATTTCATCATTTTTATTATCATAATTATTCATAATTTTTATTATTAGTAGTATTATTGTTTTTTGTTGTTGTTGTTGTTGTTTTTGTTTTGTTTTGTTTTTTTTTTCCCCTACGGCGCATTTGAATACCGTATTTATTCGAATAAGCGCCCAACCTCGAATTAGCGCCCACCTCGAATAAGCGCCCATCCGAAAGGCAGAAAAAGTTAATAAGCGCCCAGCCTCGAATAAGCGCCCACCCCCTCCTCCTCCCAATCAAACTCAAATAAGCGCTCACCCCCACCCCACCCACTTGAGTGAATAAATTCTAATAAGAGACTTCCCCGAGGACGGAGTTTTCTTCAGAGTATTTTACAGAAACCTTGCTTTGTTACTTCTTCGCGTTTTGTTATTAGCATATATTGTTTCGTTGCAAAATAAACTTACTTCACTTGCTGAAAATGGTGAAAATTTAATAAGCGCCCAGCCTCGAATAAGCGCCCACCTCGAATAAGCGCCCACTCTCAAGGTCCAAAAATTTAATAAGCGCCCAGGGCGGTTAATCGAATAAATACGGTATATTTCTATAGATATTTGCGCCTTATAAGTTTTTGAAATTAAATTAAATTAAATAAATAGCAATATTGATCCTTCTCCTCAAATGTGAAATACAAGTATGGCGATTTTTACATCGAGTCTACACTGTACATGTATTCAATAAGGAAAGTGATAATGAATATTGTCACCTAGCCTCGTGATCTGGGGCCATTTAAACTGTTATTCAGTAACATCTACTGAAAGGTCCTTTACCCCGCGGAGCAAGAAGAGGCTTGAAACTTCAAAACATCCTTTAAACGGAGACAGTGACATCTTCTTGTTTGAATCAATCGAGGGATGATAGAAAAAGCAAGACAAGACCTCGAAACAAACATCAGATCATCAGACAAATCAGAGTATACGAGCAAAGAAGAAGTCACAGGTAAATAGATCCCACGAGGCGAGCGTGACGTCAAACGTTTACGAAATCCGACCGAAGATTAAAGGGCCTTTCGACGGATGTTAACGAGTGCTGACCCGCTGCGACACGTCGCGGGGACAAGTCGCCGCAACAATTCGCCTTGTGTGAAACGGTTAATTTTATGAAAATCATTGTCGCTGCGGCAAAATTTTGTCGCCCCGATCAGTCGCACGAATTCAAACCAGTTTGAATTCGTGCGACTAATCGCGGCGACAAAATTAGCGAAAGCAGCGTTGTCGCACCGTGTGTACACCTCCGGCAACAAGTCGCTGCGACAAAATATAAATAAACCAATGAGAGAGCGTCATATGGTCAGCCATGTTGAATTAGAAAGCTAGTTCACATTCCCCTTTACACGAGATTACTGCGCGTGCACCGAACAGACGTCGTGTCGCAGCGGCTTGTTTTGCAATTAATACACACGGAGCAACTTGTCGCTGAGACCTGTCGCCTAGTGTGTCCCGGCCTTAAAAGACATTTATGTCTCCTCCCCGGTTTACTGAAACATTAGCAATAAACCCCCCTTTACTTGCAACAGCCGAGCTTTGTTTGCTAGAACGCCTAACTTAGGAACCGAGACTGTGGTCTGGGATTAAAAACATGGCCGGTTTTATTCAAAACGGCTGCAAAATCATCTTATCAATGGTAAAATATGAAATAATGTTTACGAATTTATAGGTCTAGCAAAGGTGAGGGCCAGAAGAAAAAGGCAACTAAACTACAAGAAATGCCTAAAGCAAGTAAAGCTGAGAAAGTTTTGTCTATGAGAAGGAAATCATCTAAAAGGTGTAAAACACCTGAGATAGCTAACTTAGACTTAGCAATCCACTCGAGAGCGATTGAAAAGCTTTCCC